AAAGAACGCCATGACCTCAAACAACAGACAAATCTGCACGACATTAAGCTTCCCCAAAAGTCACACCATTCCTTGAAGTACAGGTCACAGGGTCTCTAATGCTTTTCCTAGAATGTAATTTCTAATCTTTTGAGTTCCATAATTGCCAAAATTAAACATTCCTTATGCAGCGGTGCCAAGATATACATGTATGTAGATGAGTTGTGAGTTTGAGTTTGATTTTTTTTTTTTTGTTTCTTCTAATTTTGCACGTCTTCCTTCTCATGAAATTTGTCTGTTACTTTTCCGGCTGACAGTTGTCAATTTGATTATTTATTATTATGAAATGAACAACTGTAAGATGATTTGACAGACAAGTTTAATCTATGTGTGAGTTCCAAGTCACTGTTGTGTGTGAATACTGTTTTAATTAAGGGTCATCTTTTGAGAATGAACACATTCCAACTTCATTTGTGCGAATTATGAGCAAATTTCTGTAAAAATGTAGAACTTTACATCATGTGTTTGATTAATTTTGTTTCACAGATCTTGTTTCACACAGCACTTACTCAGGAAGAGAGCGTCTTATTTTAAAGAAATCAAATCTATTTTGTAAATTTCTGTCTGTGAACTGAATGTAATAAAGAGGCTATATTTCACCGTAGAGATCGGTGTGTTTGTAAATACAGTAGCATTGTTTGATTTAAATATGTTCACTTTATTTATGAAGGTTATGTACAAAAAGAATTTCACACGGACACGACCACGGAGCGTGAGGGTGTTACCGTGTGTGCGTGAGGCTCGTGAGGGTTCGCAGCTGTAACGGCAGCGACAGGTTGGTGTCCTGATGCCACCGTGGTGTGGTGGTGTGTGCTGCTGGGGACAGGACACTCTGAGCCACACCGGGGGTCTTCAGGAGTGACCAGAGCTCCTCCCCTCGTGTCACTATGGCACTGAGATCCTCTCCAGACGAGCACCAGGGAACTGGTCCTCCCCTGGCCACTGTTCGCAGCTTTGAGAGGAAAAGCGACACCCTACAAAGTAAAAAAATATATGATAAATAAAAATGTATTTTATGTCACATAATTCTTAACTAGAAATTTAAAAAAAAATTCTCCCATGATTCATAAAGAGAACAAAAACCCCCAAACAGATCTCTGATCCGCTTTGTAACTTTCTGTCACCTGGGGATGAGGTCATGTGACCGTGAGGCCAGTTTCGCGAGTGCGCTCATTAGACTGGTGATGACACGCGGCGCCGGACGAGCTGCACCAGGTAATGGAGCGGAGGAAGTGACCTCAAACAGCACCGCCTCCAGCGTCTCAAAACAGGAAGTGATCAGCTTCACGGAGCAGCGAGAATCACAGGAAACAGAGAGGTTATCTCCCAGAGCCCACACCTGAGAGTCAACAACAGGGTTTCAGTGTCATGTATTCTGCTTTGGTCCCACACTCTGTGGGTACTGCAGTACACGGTACTGTGGTACCGTCTCCAAAACAAACACACAAGAAGTTACCACATGAGTGTAGACCTCTTCTTTGCTATAGGCGTTGGCTGTGGTTCCGGCGAACTCCAGCAGGTCGTGCGACTGATCCACCACCAGAGAGGGGTGGAGCTTACACAACCTCAGCAGGTGGCAACTGAACACCCTGCAGAGAGAGGAGAGAGAAGGAGCGGAGATGTTCATCTGAGGAACAATTACTTGTAGGACAGAATCAGCACACGTGTTTACCTGTGAATCTCAGTGGTGTACGTGGGCAGTTTGAGGAGCAGGCTGCTTCTCTCCAGCATCACCAGCATCAAGTGGGCTAAAAGTTTCACATCGCCAACCTACAACCACAGTACACAAACACACACACGTACAACTGAAGACAAGATCTAAATCGGTCACTTCTGTTTGTTTATCATATATAACAGTGCTTCATTACAGCAAGGGTTTTATAAACTCATATATGAACCTCCCTCTGGATAATAAACCAGGGCCACGTACTTCCTACAAAATACTAACATTTGTCATTGAAAACATGTGCAGATTCACTCTGTCACATTTCTCTTATTTAACCTCGTACAACTGAAGACAAGATCTAAATCGCTCACTTCTGTTTGTTTATCAAACAGTGTGTTTGTTACTTTGTTTATTGAAACACAGAAATGATTCTACACAATTTAAGTGACAGTCGTCAAAGCTCTGCTCACTTTCTGTTTCGTTGACTGTCCAGACAGTTTATTGTACAGTATATGCCCTTCATATATTGTAGACTTTTTAAACACAGATATTACGGGTGTTTTAATTTTTTTTTTTTCCTGACCTTAACGACTGTGTTGAAGAAAATGTGTAACAGCACCGGAACAGTCTGTGCACACTGAACGACCCGCGGCCAATCAGATGCTTCAGTGAGCAGCTCATGGAGCGTGCTGAGTCTGTCAATCGTGTCACCTGTGAAGGTGAGTGCACAAAGTTAACACAAGTATAAATATGCGGCTCTAGGCTAACTAGCTGCTTGCTTTAGCCACGCAGGTTTTATTACCTGATCCTGTTTCAGTCCGAAGTAAGTAGAGGAAAAGACCTCTGAAGGAGGGGGATCGGAATGCATCCAATGACAAGAGGCCACGCCCACAGGCCTCAGCTATAGGTGTGCTCGTTGTCCTTAATACGACACTCAAGAGTTAGTCATTTGTACTGTAGTTACAGCAGATGTTATTGGTGTAACACATTAATCAACCTGAGCTGCAGGATGAGGGTGGCAGAGAGACAGGGCAGGTCCAGCAGTGCGTGGAGCAGCTCCACTGCAGTATCAACAGTCACCAGAGAGGGCAGCAGATCCACAAAGTCGTCAACGACTGCTGGGCCATCCCAAGCCAAAAACTGAAAACACAGAAAGATTTACCACCCGGTGTTGCGCTGTAGAACATAGATATATAAAGTATAGATTGTAGTGGTGCCGACCTTCAGCAGGTTTGGGAAGGAGTGTGTGTACTGTGGAACTCGCAGCTGCAGGTTCTCGACGTTCAGTCGTAGGAAACGGAGAAGCTCGTACGCCAGGAAAGGATCGTTGAAAAGCTCAGCGGGAAACTGACTGAACACCAGCTGCCACACACTGTCACAATCCACGGCTGCAATTTCCCCTACACAAGGCGGGTTAAAAACAAAAGACTCTTATTAAAAAAAAACAAAAAACTACACAGTGACTTCAAATTGAAGGTGTGCGTGATGAAGAGACAAACCATGGTTGAGGTAGAACTGTGCTATGGGCAGCAGCACTCGGGCAAACGTCAGGTCGGAGCTGAGGCGACCAAAGAGAGCTTTAACACATGGGAAGGTTCTGTAGACCAGTGAGGAGTCCTCCGTACACACACAGTCCAGGATACACACAGCCTCCACCAAACACTGAGGAGCACAGATGGGGGTAAACAGGAAAATGTCTGATTTGGACGAACCAACAGAACTCATGTCTTTGACCATCAATGTTCCGTCATGTCCAACTTATTTTCTATTTATCATCTTAAATGCTATTAATTAAAATCTGTGGCCTCACCGCTTTCTGCAGCTCTGTGTCCGACTTCTTCTGTGCCTCTGGGACAAAGACAAGAGTACATGACAACATGGTGTCAAATGGTGTCTGTACCTCAGCAGTGTCTGTACCTCAGTTGTGTACTACTAAAGTACACTCCAACAGGAGACCAACAAACTCTTCGTCACTTACTGCGGTCACACTGCTCGATCAGGCGCAGGCAGTACTGGAAAGCCTTCTCTCTCAGCCGCTCCTTTGGGGGCAGCAGTCGGCTGGAGGAGGAAGTCGCCGAGACCATGGAGACCACTGAGCCATCCACCTCAGAGCGGTCATCTGCAACATGACAGTTCAGGAAGGAAATGCTCCGTAAAAAAAACGAGATAAATAAAACAATTCAGTGAGGAGAAGGTTTTTTTCTTACTGATTAGCAAGTGTTGGAATGTATACAAAGTGTTCAAGTACAGTTAGACTAGACAGAACCTCAGGAATCCCTTTGGACAACTAAAGATGCCCCAAGTGTTTAATCTTTCTCCACAGAGGAAGTGACACACACTCACTGCAGCATGCAGATCAGAGGTGAGTTAACGAAAGATTAACAGAATTAGTACGAACGTTAGCATAAATGCGTGAAATGTTCAAACCTGGGGCACAAATAAAAAAAAAATACTGACAGTAACATTCATCTGCTGAGCTACGACTCCCCTGCTGTAGCTATGTGCCCCATACGGGGGTCCGCCCCTGACTTTGGGAACCACTGTTATACACATACACTAGGGTTTATACCTTTTGTGAGTCACAGCGACTAGAGATATAGCACAACACAAGGCTTCAAATGTGCTTCTGAAACTGATCTTACGGTTACAGACCTATGATGGTAGATTTTCAAAAGCCATGTTAAAATAAAAATTTAAAAATAAAATAAAGCCGTCTATATTAAATAAACACATTTTTAAATTAATAAATTAATATTCAATCAAGGGAGTGTAAAAAAAAAAAGAATGTATTCTGTTGTAAACCACGTGCATTTCTTCAGCCCTTAACCACAGTGAGTCATTCAAGTCGTCAGAAAAAAGCTGTGGTCAAAGACACGACGGTTAAAGGACTTTCAGTTAGAGATTACAGGTCAAATCAAGCGTAGATTTGATTAGTGATCGTTTTGGGCGTTGTGAGAGTTAAATAGAAGGTGAAGAAGTTTCGGCTTCTTTGCCACATGCAGTGAAGATCCTCGTACTTTCACTTCTTACCATTAGAAAATGAATGGGAGTGGGAGAGGGAGAAGCTGAGCTGTAGTCTGTTCGCTGGAGACGATGAAAACACAGCACAGGTCACATGACAAAGATCGTGAATGTATTGGAGCAATGGCTTTGACAGAGAAACTCATATTATAGAAAAGTCTGCGAGCTTATATATGAAGACCCAGAGATCAGGCTGTTCCATGTAAATTAACTTAAAAAACAGACTGATTTTTTATTGGTATTTGTTTTGCATTAGGAAGTGTGGCACAACTTCTGGTCTTGTGTGTAATGACTGTGGTTTCTGACGAAAGGACTGTCACATCTGTTAACCCTGTAGATTAGTACCTGTATCAGATAAGGAAACGCTGCTAGGAACAGAGTGAAAGGTGAGAAGCCAATGTCGAAGCATAGAAAAGGAGTAAACGTTCATCCACTGATCCTCGGTGAAACCCTGGCCCACACACAGCACGGTGAAGAAATCTCCAGAAACTGTTCCGTCCAGTTCTGCTATGGGCACTGGCTGATAAAACAGACACACAGGAACCAACACTGTAAGCTAAGTTTTAATCTTGATTCATTTTTGATTCATAGCTTATTGATACTGAATAAATATAATTTCAATTAATTTTAATAAGGCACTCTAAGTATTACAAACTTTACGATGTTGTGCACCACTCATAAACTTTGAAAAATCATGTCTTAACAATATTTACCTGCCGAGACCTGGGTCCGGTGAAGAACCCTCCTGAGGAAACGGCGCCTCCCTGTGTGATGCTTGCATAACGCAGCCAGTCAACAAGCTTTTTGCTCAGAAGAGTCACCTGATCTGTAAGGGGAACAAGTAAATTGAAGTAAAAGTGCAAAATTCCCCCCTTCTGATTCATCCGATATTAATTTGTTTGTTTACATTCTGATGAGCAAATCTGATCGTTACCTTCTGTGAGACGCTCCGGGCTGTGTGTGAGGATGGTGTTCAGGATTGGGAGTATGTGTGTGAGTGAACTGCTCTGATTTTCTGACTGACGATTCTCCAGGCTGCGAAGGAGCCGAGTGCATAGAGATGACAGCTCGGTTCTGGAGCTACACTGTGAGAAGCAAATTGGCACAAAACATGTCATTTGATTGAGGATTGCAAATATTGTATCTTTATTTCTGTGAATAATTAAGCACTGGCTACTTCTCCAATTTGTTTTCTCCAATTATTAAAAAAAGATAATTATTACCTGTGAGAGCAGCAGTGAATAGGAATGGATGTTTTCCTGGTTGTAGATCTGTTCCTCACCAGGGAGGGGCAGTGTTTCACGGAGCACAGCTGTGCTCAACACCTGAAGCTGCTCGGATGGTGACGAGAGAAGAGGTGAAAGTTTTCTCTGTAGCTCTGCAGGCAACCTTCAGTCATAAACCAGAGAATGTATATAAATGTCAACTGATCGTTTGTTTTGTTAAAAATGTGTTTTTCCTTTACAGAAATTATAATGTTGATACTAACTAAATGTATATTAGATACTTAGATATTTTACTGCCCAGTGATCTTAACAAACGTTACATTAACTTAATACTATTTGAAAATTGGTGTTCCATCTATTTGATAAAAAAAAAAAAAGTTAAGTGCACCGAGGTCCTCTTACGTCTTTGTGTATTTGTTGGCAGACAGAATGAGGTGCAACCTCTGCAGGGAGTCCATCGTCTCATGACCGAACTCCTTCGCTTTGAGTAACTTCAATAATCTGCTGTAAAATTTTTGTAGCTCCGAGTCCTGAATTTCCCTAAACCAAGGAGAGTGAGGAGTTTAGCTTCTTTTATAGGATATCACAACCATGTTTGGTCAGTACTCAAATTCACAATATGTATATTTTAATTTATCTAACAATAACATGCACAGCATCACAAAGAAGGCCTGGGAGAAGATACGTCAGAAAGTTCGTGTCACAAACATAAAGCAAATGCACCAGAAACGTAAATAAAACATGCTGCATGTGTAAACAATAAATCTGATAACTTGTACATATCGATGCACTGTGTAAACAATAAATCTGATAACTTGTTAACTTGTACATATCGATGCATAACAGACACATTTGTAATAGTGAGTGCAGTGTCATGACGGTGAATCAACTCGGATGCCCAGCAGAAGTTATTATCGGTCAAATAAGGATTAAAAACTGCGAACATTTTGCAAACATTTATAACTTAATGCAGGGTTTAGGCGACGTATCTGGGGTTAGCATTGTTAGCATAACACGCAAAAACGATGTGTATAAATGGTAATTTGTTAGCATCACATAAAACGCTGTGTGTTTCCTTACCTCGCTTGTTTAATTAAGCTCTCGGAGCCATGAGAGTACATTTTGGGCGTGGGGGTTAAAATGACACCCAAATAAACTCTACCTTTCAACGCAGGAAAACAAACAGTCCGGTCAATAAAAAGGTCCTGCCTCAAAATCACATGACACGACTTCAGTTCCGTTTCCTTGAGGGTGAAAGTACAGTGTTCCGTCATGTACATTTGGTTATGCTAGTTTATTTAAATAATTTAATATTCGCAACAAACAATATAACTACAACAGTAATGTCGCGCTGTCTCCAAACCAGCCTTTAGCAATATTCTCAACCAACTTATTTTGTTAACTAATTCTACTGCAGTGGGTATTTAATGCAGGGGTCTTGAAGGGATGTTTTGAAGAATTTTCGAATGTTTCGTTTAATTATTTATTTTTAAAAAAATATTTTTTAAAAATATATCAAAAAAATTTATTAATTTTTTTGTATCCTATCTCGTCTTATTTAGTATATGTACTGTGACATGGACTGTATTTTATCTGAGTGAAAAGTTTTCTGACGGGTCGTTAACCTCACCGCTGTGAACTTGTTTCCATCACCTCTCTCTCTCTCTCCCTCCCTCTCTCTCTCTTTCTCTCTCGTCCCACACACGCATACACACACCGCCTACCTCCCTGGTACTCTCTCTCTCTGCTGTCAGTGTCTCTCTGCTTTAAACCCCTGTGTCTGTTTGCGCACATATGGAGAAAACCGAATTCACGAATCGTTGGTTTTGACAGGAATAACAATATTTATACATATATATATATTTTTAAAAAACAAGCAGGACTGAAGGATTAAAAACACTCCACACCACGGTAAAAGGTCAAGTTTGAATTTCCTCCAACACTTCGTCGTACTTCTCAGGTAAGCTATTAGCATTTCACCTCAAAGAAACCGTTGGGGTTTGAAAACAGACGCTTGTTAAATGCACCTGTCGCATGACAGTCTTACAGTTTCCCATCATACATTACTACTGTCTGGTACCGCCGCCCCGCGAGTTTTTCAATTGGCCTGAATATAAATCAAACGCACCACGTCTAAAAGACTCTGACTTTCTGAGAAACGGCTGTTTGCGCCACATACGCGTGTAATTACTATTTAAGAAATGATGACTAATTATAATAATCAAGAAACGCCCGTGTTTATATGCCACTTTTTTTGTAACAGATTTAAAATGTCTGAGAGAGAGAGAGAAAGAGAGAGAGAGGTTGTGCAGGAGGGTGTTCAATCTCCGCTCACATCCTCTTGGCTCATACACACGCAGAAAGTTATTAGTTCGGTAACAGTATTCCTCACAGCCTGTCATCCCTGGCACTTTATCTGGCGTTATCCACATAGTTTAAATTCCAGGTGCAGGACTCAGTGGGATCCAGTGAAAGGCAGAAGAAAATATTATCTCCCCAGAGAAAATTTGGTTTTTACTTGTTTGGGCTAACTTGTTGTTTTTTTTTTTTTCATGTTTAAAATTCAACTTTTCACTATGTTTAACTATCTTTTAGCTATTTTTGGTTGGTTTGTTTGGCTATTAATGGTGGCACATTTAGATTTTTCAGTAACCTTTTTCAGATAACTTTAAGTTTAAGTTTATTTTCTTAATCTTTATTTAGTTTTGGTGGTTGTTGACTTAAATGATCAAAAACAAGAGGTAACGCTAAGTAAAAGTGTTACTGTGTTTGGAAAAGAGCTCCACATGTAGACTGTAGTCAGGAAGCCAAATTCTGACCAATGAGAAGAAGAATCATCTGTGGATCAGATTGTCAGCCTTTTCTTACAGAAATTCAACGATCGCCATGAATGAACCTACTGCTTACTACTGCATAGATATCAAATTCCTATAAGCTCCAGCTTTACTGTTGCACAATGGAACCTTTATAATGGGCTGTCCACATGAACCAATCATATCTGTCCATCAGCTAACTCTGCAGCCAATCCAGTACAGCACCTGGACACACAACTGGGAATGTATTGTATTGCAATTTTCTAAATGTTATCAGTCAGAGTCTAAGCAATTTATTATTAAAAACAAAAACTTTTTACACTGTTTTTTGGGGGGTTTTTTGCAGTAAAAAAATCTGAACATTTTGCAGCTCTGAACATACACACAACCTGCACATCACTCATTAAACCATCCACCCATGACATTGACTCCACCCATCAGACCTACCAGTGCAGTAAAAAAAGAGAAGCAAAACTAGCTTTGAAAGCAGCTTCTACCATCGTGTCCAAGTAGTGAAGAAACACTGGAGACCAACTGTACACAAACACGGAACAGAAAATAGATTCAACAATCCTTTTACATTTGTTCAAGTTCAACTGAAATCCAGGCTTCGTAGGCAGTAAACACATCAAATTCTTACATAATGTAAGATGTAATACCAATTTGAACCAAAAAAGACATTAACAAATAATCCTCAAAATGTCTAGGAGGCAGTTTTGGGAGTTGTAGTTCAGGCTACATTAATGACATCGTACACTTGATTAGCTTTTGAAATAGTGGAGTTAATAATACGAATTATACACTATGCATATGTTATACACATGGTATTCACCAGCTGCATTTACACCCATCTAGTAAACACCAGTACTATGGAATATAGAATAAAGGACAGCTAAATGCCTAACAGCAAAAGCAAAAAAAAAAGCCCAAATTGGAATGGAAAAATACATATGTTTTTGTACGTCCCTATGATTAAAAACATTCAGAAACATTCACGACCCAGCGACGACAGCAATTATCTGCAAACGGTGTTTGTGTTTGTGTCAAAGGCATTCTAGCGCCCCCTGAATGTATTCAATAGAGTGCTCATTCATGTTCTGTATTTTTTTCTTTGACACACACACACACAAACAAACTTATCTTAGTTGACCTCAGCAGTCAGATAAGACGAGAACGAGAGTGAAGATTCACATCTGGTTTAAAAAGGGGAAGCAAGGAAGACTTTTCTTGGTAAAGGACGCTAAAATAAGAGAAGAGGAAACATGTATGCGGTTACTCAAGAAGTCTGTGAGCGCGCACACACGCCATTTACTCTTGAGTGTAACAGTGCATGTTAACTGCTGCGAGGGTGGCAGCATATATTTAGACTCTTTTGATATGAATAATAGCCCGGACTGTTGAAGATAGGTTCAGAGATTATTCATTTGTTTCAGTGAGGTGACGTAGGTACGAGAACAACAACATTTTTATCAGTCTCCGAGCAGAGGAAATTAACCACGTATAGCAGCACAGATGAAAGTCAACACTGTAAAGATAATAAAAATAGTGATAATGCCATAAAATTGTACAGTGAACTGAAGACCAGGCTCCGAGTCTGTTGTTCAGCACTCGACAACTGACTGACTGGAGCAGGTGAGCTAAAAACCTTGACCCTGATTTAAAGATTTGGGTTATTGGACTTTTGATTCCATCATCTGTGCAAAATTCTCCGATGGAGCAAAGCCCAAATATAATAAAAATAATAATAATACTAATAATAACAATAATAATAATAATAATATTGTTATTACTACTACTACTACTATCATCTCTTGTGGTTGCGTAATATTGTAATAATGCAATTTGTTTCTACCACAAATATCTACAAGACTGGAGTGACAAAACTTTCTAAGTCTCTCTCTCTCTCTCTCCCTTTGAGTAAACACACACACACATTCATACATCATTTGCATTTTACTCGTTCGTACCTTTCCATGATCATATAGTCCTCCTTTATTACTCACAGGCAAATGGTGGGTTATCTGGTGTTGTGACTTCCCCATAAATACAAAATCACACAGATCTTTGCATCCAACTGTCACCCTGCAGCCGGCATGAAAGATTCTGTTTGTATTTTCCCCACACAGACAAACACACTCGTCGGTGCATATTCACCGCAGTCAAATGATGCAGCTGACGTTCAGCTTTACAGACAACGGACTAGACAGTCAAGACAAATCCCTACACTGGCCACTTCATGCAGCGAGCTGTGACAAACTCCTACATTTAATGTAAATTGATGCAATTTTTAAACATGTGCAGTAAATATGTAAACAAAAAAAATCAATGTTATTTTAAACAGTAGAGCCTGGAAACAATAAGTGATTTTTAAAGAGTTCTTGGATAAACACACATTATTCGCATTCCATTCTTCTTTGATCAACCTCACCCGATTTTTCAAGACACAGTTTTGTGTATCTGCAGATACAAGCAGTTAAGGATTGGTTGCTGTTAGAATGTGTTTCTGGATTCATTAAGGCACATGCCAAACACACTCTAGGATATATATATAAGTTTTCTATGCCAAACACACTCTAGGATATATATACGTTTTCCCAGCACCATACAGCTGAGGCTGATCCCACCCACTCTCTGAGATGAACCTTAACAGAGTTCTTATCAAGACAATCTGGTTTACTGCATTTATTCATTGAAGAATATAAGGAGAAGGTATAAATGTCTAAACTTTCAAAATCAACCTTGATGCAGGGGTTACCAAAGTTTTGAAGTTGAGAAAAAAAACCCTTCTTATATTTATTTGATGTTCAGCTTTTGCCTTGAACGACGAAGCAGACTAGAAATCATTTTAATCAGTGATTGGATCAATGTTTTGGTGTTGTTATATCTCACATGGGTGCCCCCACTGCCTACCCCACCCACCATTCATGATAGCCAGGCGACCCCTGGTGGGGACCGCCCCCTACTTTGCAGACCACTGCTTTAATTGCCGTGAACCATCGTTCAAACTCAGCGTTTAAATAAAATGCAAAGACCTTGGGAAAAGGCCTTTCCCATCACCTCCCCTGGGCTTTTTTTAGCACATTCAGCGATAACGTCTAAATCTTTGTTTGGTGAAAATCTTTCCCCGAGTGCAGGCGTATCAAGGTCAAATTTTTGTATGTCTTCATGGGAAAATCAAGAGTTTGGAGAGAAACAGGAACGGTGCCTAATTTCAGCACGAGTCATAGAAAATGTCTATGTTCCATTCAAACTCAACGCTTTGTTCTCTTTTCGTGTAAATTTAACGGACAATGTTGATGAAATTCAGTCTGCTCGGATCTCGTTTCACACACACACACACACACTCTTTTCTATCGATATCCCAAACATCCCTCAGCTTGATGTTGTTCCAGAGGTCAGTGAAAGGATTACTGTCGGCAGAGTTTTATAGAAATGAATACTTTGTCCTGATAGAAGTGTCTTGTGTCTGCATTTGTTTTTTTTATTATAAACTATCTTTACCACTCTGTCATTACATAAGTCATGTTTAGGATTTTCATCATCACTGTTCCTCTTGAACGTGTCGAGAGCTTCAAAGTTTTTACCGCCTTTTTCAGTTGTAAGAAATGGAAAACGGGAATTCAGACATGTCTGATGAATCGGAGACGCTGTGGGAGAAGGTGGAGAGCAAACGCCAAGAGCTGTGTCGCACCATCTCTCCAGCCAAGCTCACTCCCTACCTGCGTCAGTGCAAAGCCCTGGACGAACAGGACGAGGACGAGATCCTGAACTCCATGCTGCTGACGTCCAAGGCAAACCGCACAAGTAGGTGGAAAAGTTATCTGTGTGTTTGGCTCAGACTTGATGATCATTCTCAGGAATCACAGAAAGACAGTTTGTTGTGTATGTGTTGATTTTAAAGTAAGGTGCATAAACTGAAGTATTCTCTCAGGCCGACTCCTCGACATCCTCCGCACTAAAGGGGACCTAGGTTACGTGGCCTTTCTGGAGAGTCTGGAGTTTTACTACCCTGAACTCTACAAGCTCGTGACAGGGAAAGATCCAACGCGGCGCTTCTCCACCATCGGTGAGGCACCGTCAAACACACACCAACAGTCCACACCACCCGTACATACTTGAGGTTTGAATCTCATTCCGTCTCTGATTGTTTTTCCTTCTCTTCTCTACCTGTCGCTGTCTGTTGCCTCGCTGCAGTGGAGGAGGGTCACGAAGGTCTGACCCAGTTCCTGATGAATGAGGTTGTGAAACTCCAGCAGCAGAATAAAGTCAAGACTCTGCAGCACGTGGAGCTCGGCAGACAGAACCGCACGCTGGAGGATCAGCACAAGAAGCTGCAACTGGCCAATCAGGAGCTGCAGGCCTTCCAACAGAGTAAAAACAACACCAGAGCTTTTGCTTATTGCTCATCTGCATGAGTGGGAACAATTGTAGCTTAAGAAAATACTACACACACTACTTCCTGTAAATGTCCATCTGATAAATATTTGACTTTCCTGTTATATTTAAAGAGCTAATATTTGTTTGTGTTACTATGGTGATGGGCGCTGCAGTATTATTAACGATACCTATTTAGCTACATAGTAAAATACAGAAAATGTATTAATTCTCGCCTGCGTACGTGATGGTAAATGAGAACCAGGTCAGCCGTGTGAAAGGCTAAGGGGTGTGATCATCATAATGTTTCTGTCCACGTTGTTGTCCTTGAACTTTACTGTGGTCTCTTTCTCCAGGATACAATAAGCTGAGAGAAGAGAGGAACAGCTACAGCGACGAGCTGCTGAGAGTCAAAGATGAAAACTACAAACTGGCCTTGAGGTACGCCTCGCTGAGCGAGGAGAAGAACATGGCCGCCATGAGGAGCCGAGACCTGCAGTTAGAGGTACCGGTCACGTGTGTGTACGAAGCGCTTCTGCAGTTCTGTCAAATGCACTTGACGGTTAACATGTTCTGCGCTGTGTGAAAGATCGATCAGCTGAAGCACACGCTGAACAAGATGGAGGAGGAGTGTAAGATGGAGAGGAAGCAGAGTCTGAAGCTGAAGAACGACATCGAGAACCGGCCTAAGATGGAACAGATCTACGAGCTGGAGAGGGAGAACAAGATGCTCAAGATCAAGCTTCAGGAGCTGCAGTCCAGCACACAGGTAAACAGAGTGGAGTCAAGCTGCTGAACGTAACGGCAGAAATTCACTATTCTCTGAATCTAATTCTCTACTAAAAATATTCTGTGTGTGTGTGTGTGTGTGCTCATGTCCAGCCTGGCCCTCTGCCTGAGTCAGACAAGGCTATTCTTGAAATTTTGGCGCAGGACAGACAGGAAGCCCTGGACGACAGGCAGACTCTGGTGAACCGTCTTTACAACCTGCAGGAGGAAGTCCGACAAGCAGAAGAGCTGCGAGATAAGGTGACACAGACACCGCATGCACGTGCACGGGTCATGGCCATGTGACAATGCATCGACAGATTGTTCAGAAATTCTGTTGAATAACTTCTGTTTCTGTTTGCATAGAAAAACAATGTCAACTGTAAGTGTGTGTGTGTGTGTTTGTGTGTTTGCAGTACCTGGATGGGAAGGAGGACCTGGAGCTGAAGTGCTCTACACTGCAGAAGGACTGTGAGATGTATCGCAACCGCATGGACACCATGATCATACAGCTGGAGGAAGTGGAGAAAGAGAGGGATCAGGTCAACTCTCTCTCACACACACACACAAACACACACACACATACAACTATCCAAAAACTGGCTTCTGTGACTAAAGAGAACCCATGTCCACAGGCCTATCGCAGCAGAGACGAGGCCCAGCACCAGTTCTCACAGAGTCTCATCGACAAAGACAAATATCGTAAACAGATCAGAGAGATGGAAGAGAAGAGCGATGAACTCCAAATCGAGATCGTACGCAAAGAGGCCAAGCTAGTCACCCTGGAGTCACGTCTACGACGCATTTCCAAGGACCAGGGTTGGGAGCTGGTTAGTAAACACCACAGAAACAGCACCTTACATCACTCTTTACTGTTGTTTTCATTCTATTGACCTGGTCTTCGGGGCAGACTCTGCCCAGGGACCTGCCCCCGATGGTTATTTCTCAGTGTGTGAACTGGAAACACGGCCATGGCCAATCAGAGTGGTCCAGTGATGAATCACCAGAGGAGAGGACTGAGAAGCCGCGCCTCACACGAAGAACTAACCTAAAAGTCGGGGTCGGTTCCAAACACTCGTCCTTCTCTGGAAATGTTCTCCAATGTTTAAATAGACAATGATTAAAATGGACATTTATTTTTCTTGGTCTAACTCAGAACTTGTTTTCAATCGTCAGATGTTTTTTTACTGTTTGAATAAACTCCTAATTATGATTTGTCTTGTAGTTGAAGACCAAGTCAAAAGAAAAACATGGTAACGCAGACGCCCCTCGACTATCAGGTACAAACAGTCTTACAAAGTTCTTTCACAGTATTAGAAATATATCCTCCCCGACCCCCCCACCCCCCAAAGTTGAACCACATTTGTCTCAAACCTGACAGTATCAATGAACAGAGGAGACTTTTTGGAGATCCAGAAACCAAACCAGCACCTCAGTTACAGATCCCTGCCCTCTTCTCCAACTTACCCCCACTCTTCAGCGCCCCTGCTCCCTACTCCACACTGTGCCTTCACGCTGCCACATTCCTTCATGGAGCAGAGCAGCAGACCAAATATGGTGAGTGAAGGACGACCAACAATGCTTCTCTGAATAACATTAAAAAAAAAAATCAAATAAAAGCCGCTTTCTGGTTGAATACTAACTCACACCTTTTATTTTAATTCATCAGCCTCGTAACCGCACCAACAGCATCTTGTCCATTGTTCCCGAACCACCTGAAATAGGCTCGCTGTACCGCAGAGAGCGGGAAAAGGAGGACGACTTCCACCCCCGCAGGTAGACGTGACTCGCTCTGATGTTAATGTTAAATCTATTTATTCTAGCTGGCTGTCAGGTGATTACACTCTTTAATCTGATCATTTACGAAAGGCTGTGTCTAATCATGATTAATTGTGAAATAATGTAAAATAAAAAACCCCACAAAAACAGGAGTATAACTATAACTCACAGTTTTGCCTCAGAGTTGGTGGATTCTAATCATTAATGACACATCAGGAGTTACTTTCAAAACATGGGTGATGTCATGGTCCTCAACAACATTATTCAGTCCAGTCTCCCAGCAGTCAGTCAGCCGTAGACTTTTTACTGGCCGTCGCTCGGTGAGGCTGGTTTGAGTGTCTGACCTGATGCTGCGGCCCCTGAGGTGCGTCAGTAAAATAAAAACCTCTTTCCAGCAGTGTGTGTACATACAGATAGAGCAGTGTGATTCATTCTGCTTATGCGTTAACACACATTCAATATTTGAATCTGATCGCTTTCGGAAATTAATTAACGCACCCGTCCTCCGACAGCACTGATCGACTTAATATTGTAGTTCAAATAATTACAGTTTAATTTCCTGTGATGAACAGATAAATAAAAGCCTTTGTTGTTCTTGTAGCCTCATGGACTCTGACAGTGACAACATGGAGGTGGATTATGGTAAGTTTGACTTTTACACCTGTCTATGTCTCTCACTAATGACGTCTGATCCCAATTTCCTGTCCGTCTCTTCTTTTCCTCAGAGGACGAGATGCAGCGTGGACCTCCGTCGGTCAACTCGTCTTCCTCTTCCTATCAGTCTGAGGGAATGGACACTTATGACCTAGAGCAGGTCAATAACCTCTTCAGGAAACTATCTTTGGAAAGGTTGGTCTTTTGTTTTACTTTTACATTTATTTTTACGCACTAAAAATCAAAAGGTTTTCTTGTGGAGGCCAAGGTGATAAATCACCATCGTCTCCTCTCTGTCTTTGAGAGCGTTTTATGATGTGTGAAACAGCGCCCCCCTTGAAGTGTTATAGGGCGAAACTGGTACTGCACTCTGTTATTTGTGAGAAGTCCTGGCTTTCTTGGAGAGTTTCCCCACGCCACGCTGCTGCTTAAAAGTCATATACTGACCACAGATGTCAATGTCCGTCTGTGTGCAGGCCGTTCCGTCCGTCTCTGTCCTCCTTCTCAAGAGTCAGCTCCTCTCTGAAACCGGTGCAGGAAGTGTCGTTAAAAGGTGACAACCTTCTGAAGGACATCACCCTGGTTGGTGGCAATGAGAGCGGGATTTTTATCTCAGCTGTGCAGCCTGGGTCCAACGCTGAGAGGGCGGGGCTTCGAGAGGGTCACCACCTCCTGCTGGTATAAACACACTTCAATGTAGTTTCACCCAAGGTATGAATCACTTTAATTGAGACTTTTCCGATTATCTGTGCTGTGATTGGTTACTCAGCTGGAGGGGTGCATACGAGATAAGAGCCTGAGCATTTCATTGGACACCAGCACTCAGGAAGAAGCACACTGGGCCCTGCAGCGCTGCTCCGGACCAGTGTGTCTACACTATCGAGCCAATTACGACTGTAAGTGTGTTTTGTTACCACTATCTGTCTGTGTCATTTACCGATTGTGTGGGTTTAAAAGAGTGTGTGTGTGTGTTTTCAGCGTACCGACGTCTTCAGAGGGACCTGGCCAATGGCACTCTTGCTTCTGGGGATTCCTTCTACATACGCGTCAACCTCGACATCTCGGGCCAATCGGACAGCTGTACCATGAGCGTGCACTGTGACGAGGTGGTGCACGTCTTAGACACGAGGCACCAGGGCCGCGGCGAATGGCTGTGCACCCGCGTCGACCCGTACACGGGCTCCGACCAGGCTGAACGTGGGACTTTACCCTGCAACTCCAGGTACGCAGCAGTTGTATTTGAAAGCGCCAGCGTTCTGAGATTGAACATTTAAAAGTGATCTTGTGTCTTTCTTTTCTGTGTTCGCCTGCGTGTGTGTGCAGGGCCCAGCAGTTGTTCTTGGTGAAAATTCAGAAGTTAGTGTATCGAGGAGGAAAAGACGACGGAAACCACCGCAACAGCAGGGTAAGGAATACGTGTGTCATTGAAAACCTGTCTAGCCAAACAATGATGCAATAAATGGTCATTCACAGAGGGGAAACCTCCACTTCCCGCTGTAACAGATGGAGTTCTCTGATTAACACGCAGTGTGTTGAAATTGTCAATTCTGTCTCTGAACGTCTGAAGAGCAATTTGCAGCCGGAGGAATCCAGCCCCATCGCTGACTCCAAGGCCAGCCCGCGCTTGTCCAGAGCCAGCATCTTCCTCACTCAGATAATCCAGGTATCTGAGAAACGAAGCACAAAACAAAAACACACGTTTCACCAGTTCTTCAGTGACTTTAGACTCAGAAGCCTGTGCTACAGACTGCGACATCCTGTGACAAGCAACTTCAAAACCATAACCATAACAACGCTACAACAATTGATATGTTTCAGCTGACTGACACCAGGTGAACTTGTTCACAAGTAATCACCATTAATCGTGACTGATCGCCATTCCTAAACCAAATCTGAGCTGAAAAAAACATGGATTTCTGGTTTTCTCTAAATAACAACAGTAGATGTCTGTGTTTCACACCTAAATAATATAAAATAAGATCCAAGAAAAAATGTCTTTCAAAAACCGGTGACGCCTTTGTCTTCACACCCTCGCGAGTCATTTGACGATTGTTACAAAGCCATCATTTTGACAGCCCATCAGTGTGCTGACAACAGCTCTCCTGTGCAGTTCCTCAGCAGGGTGGACACCAAGTACAAGCGAATGAACAGCAACGAGCGGGTGAGGCTCATTAACTCAGGCAGCGCGACTTTACCCAAACAAGGCTTTGACACGTTAAGACCAGAAGGTGAGTACGAGCTGCTACGCGACACACGAATACACACATACACTAATGTGAAAAAAAATGTTCAAGGTGGGTGTATGTACTTCCAAACACGCTCGTGGCCCCCGCGGCTGCTGACTGCTCTGAGGAGAATGATGTGCTCACAGTGAGGCAGCCCACCCAGTAACCCAGCTTCCAAAATCACATTTAAATGTTATACTGAATATAAAACTTCTGTTGAGACTAAGTTTCTGGTTTTTCTATATTTGCTTAAAAAAAAACGTGATTTTACTCAGTCACGGCAACTGGAAACGACGACATCTGATGTTCAGTTTCCGTGTGAACGCTGGGTGAAGGTGAAACATCAGTTGAATTTCTCAGTTTTCGGTGCTGTCATGTGTGTCTCCTGCAGGGAGCTGGAGTGTAAAAGCAGCTGCTCTCAGACATCCTTTAAGGTTGTTCACTGATCTTAGCCATCGGCCTGTTTCTATCTGCAGACACATTTACTGCAGACTCTTGTCCCAGATCAGTAGTTCAGAGCCTAAAAACTTGACTGATGCAGTTTTACAGTTTCAACTTTGAGCCAGATTTTCTGAAAAGTAGAAACTATAGGTGATAAAAGATTGATTGGCAGATAGGATTTTTTTTAAGATCTGTGTCTGTGAACTCTCTGATTGTACATACATTTCTTCCTGGATTTTGTAAAGCAACACATGAAGCCTTTAATGACAATCTAATTTGAACGTACGTAAATTTGTGTAGAACAAAAGTATCCATTTGGTTTAAAGCACAAGATATTCACCCTGACAGACAAATGACAAGTGAACTCTTCACCTACAGCTTCCCTCTGTTTTACTGTTTTTCCGCATGTGTGTGTGTGTGTGTGATGTAATGGCCGTAAACAGATGCTGCAGACTCTGACACTGAGCTGAGCCGGAGTTTGAACCTGATTCCCTACAGCCCCGTCACTCCCCAGAGGACCCAGAGAAAAAGACCTGTCCTCTTCACCCCCACAGCTCTGGCCAAAACCATTATCCAGAAAATTCTGAATATGGGCGCGGCCATGGATTTTGACATTGGAAAACCAGGTCAGTTTCCATACAGCAGAGCCAGTGTACGTTTCTTTTTTTCAGTTTTTGAATTAAAGATTAAAAGATACCTTGTTGTGTTGAGGTGGAAGAGAAACAAAGAGAGAGACTGGGATTTCAGGTCAGGCATTGTTTACTGCACAGTGGAGTATTTGTGCAGAGTGTAACCTGTAAAGAGAGAGCCAGAAAAGCAGAGAGATTATTCAAAGTCTACAACACGTGGTAATAAAATGAGCTGGGTCAAAGTTTTATCATTACCTTTAGTGATAATAAAAACAAAAACAGTCCAGTTGAGATGTAAAAACTTTCAGGTTTCTTCCCAGGGTTCACGACTCACTAAACTCTCCCTACTGTTTTCACATAGTGACATGATATTATTTTTTTCCTTCTCTCTGTTTCCCATTCCAAAGAGAAGTTTTACCTACAGCAGAACGTGGAGCCATTTATTCACTACAAGGAGAAACAGGCGACCTTTGAATGCATCACCAGAGAAAACATCGAGGCTGTCGCTGCCAAGGTATTCTGCACTCCCTAAAAAAATAAAGGAAATATTTCATGTTAAAAGTATTATTTCTTGAACAGTAAATGGTGGGAAAAAAAGAGAGAGAGAGAGAGAGAGGTTCTAACATACTGTAAGGTACAAAAGGAGCATCCATCAAGGGTCCACAGCAGCACATCACTACTCTCTGCTGTAATTTGCCAGAACAAAGTTGCCTAAAGGAGAGAATCAGACGACTTTGATCAAAGTTTGTTGAACCTCTCAAGTAATTTAAATCAAGAGAAATTGTCTTTTTGTGAACAATTTGTACCAGTCAAATTATAAGAATGTGACCCTGTGAGCAGCTGTTCAACAATGCTGTATATGTGGTACATGATATGGTCAGTGAACACAAAACGTTATTTTATTTATTTTTTAACCCTTTTGCTTCATCAATAAACATCCACCTGAATCGACCCGTTGCAGATTTTACTCTTGACTGCATTTTTTAAATGGTTCACCAACGTTCATGGAACTTTTTTTTTTCTGGTGAGCTTGTGCGTGTAAATATGTGGCGACTTGTGTTCCACGTGCTCTTTTCGCACTTGTCTGCAAAGCTGAAGTTTCCACTCATCACCAGGGCAAACACTGTCTGCTGGAGGCTGAGCTGAACTGCGTCAAAGACCTGCTGCGGAGAGAAGTCTACCCCATTATCATCAATGTCAAGATCTGTGAGAAAAATGTCAAGAAGTTACGGTAAACCTCCGTCACTCACCTCACTTTGTTCACACCTTTCACCCACAGTGCACACCAAAGTTATCTTTTTTTCCTAAACACACACACGTCAATCCACTCATGAGATTCTGACTCCAGACGCAAGATGAATTTGGCCCTGGATCAAACGTCAGCAGGCGCCTGGTCTCCATGTATTTAATCTACAGTAGAAAATGCATCAGAGGTTTTCCTGCAGTGGATGATATCCACGTTGCAGATGTGTTCAAAAACAACATTTAAATTCAATAATGTGTTCCATATGACATATGTCATTTTCTTGTTGTTGTTGGATTGTGTGTTTACATATTGCGCTGACGAGGGTTGTCAGTTCTCGACCATAGTTGCACAGCATCTACAAAATCTTAACACAGACACTGGGCTCAAAACAATACCACACTCACCACCGCAGCACTGTTTCCTTCCTGTTTCCTGTCCACACAGGAAGTTGTCTCTGCGCTTTGACTCAGAAGAGGAGTTTCTCAGGTCATGCCGGGCCAAAGAGAAGGAGCTGGAAGGCATTCCCTGTCTGTATGCCAGCCTGGAGCCTGAAGCGTGGGCCGGGCCGGACGACCTGATCAGGGTCATCAAGGACAGAATACTGGACGAGCAGAAGAAGACGGTGTGGGTGGAGCAGGATCTTCTGTAGGCGACCACGCAGATGCACGTGACAACAAACTGAACATGAACATTAACATGTGTAGCACAGCACACTTATGAAGTTGTACATCAAGTGAATAGATTAAGCTTGGAATAAATACTTTATATATTTTCTAAAGGCTTGCATTTTGTTTTTAGAGAGAAAAAAAAATCATAAAACGGATTTAAATTCATTCCTCTCGTTGTCCAAGGCCCAAACCATTACACTACACTGACCTCTAGCGTCCAAAATGAGAATTGAAAACCCAGAAGTTAATTCTCAGGTAAAAGTAAAGATCATTAAAACGACAATACAATTAGCACGAAATGATTACGAGTTAAATGAGGAATTCACGCTTCAACGAGATAATACGAGGTTCATAATAATATTACACCATTATAACATTCTGCATCTTTTACAAATACATTTTGCAACGTCAACCTTTTTTAACAGCTTCAAAATGAAGACATTATTTAGATGAGCGAGGATAAACTAAATTCATCAATTTCCTCTCTATTGAATTCCTGAAAATGTTATCAGCTATCAGGTAAAATTAATAATATACAGTAATTACCGTTTTATTAATTTAAAGGTGGAAACGGTAATAAATACATAGATATTAAGCCTCCATATTAGACAAACTTTTTAATAAGAATTTTAAGCGATTGGCTGCAAGAAATTGGCTTCTTCCTGTTCTAAAGCTTCTGGATCAATTTAATTATAGCAGATTCAACTTTTAAACTCCACCAAAGACCACTTCTCGGAATTTACTTATTTTGAAGTCGCCAGAAACCGTCCCCACACACTGCTGCCTGGGCGCTTTAAACCTGCCCACTGCTCCCCCTGGTGATGGGTTAAAAGCAGAGGCTCAGTTTCGATAATACAGACCATAATAAATAAATAAATAAATAAATAATGCCCTAGCAGACGCAGCACCACCACTGACCACTAGGGGCTGGTGCCAGTGAAAAGTGAGTTTGTTTCTCACTTCTGCCATTGTTTTTTTTTTTTTTTTTTGTTATTCTGCGACCAGCATTGCTAACGGGGAACGCAATAATTGACAAAGGATGTTTGAGCTGCTTCTTTTCTTATAATTACGTGTCTAAACTTTTCCATTCCAACATTTATTCAAAATGTTTCATGAGTTTCATGACTGGGCAGTGCTAGGCTATCATAAAATAAGTGGTAGTGAGTCCAAAAATTGTTACATCAAGGGCAACTGGACGAAGTTTTAGACGTAGATTACCCCCAAAAAGTAGTCAGGCAGAACTGAAGAAGCCTCTTGGATGAAAATTTTGTTGCGCTCTGGAAAGAGCTAATAAATAACGAGATTGTAAAAAATGTTAGCCCGAGGCAGCAGAAAAAGTTCGGTCATTTACCCCCCCCTCATCACGTTTGGGTCTTGTTCTGTTCAGGAGGATGCGAGATTTTGAGTTTTACAGTTGATTTTACCGTCAAGGCAGGTTATTTTCATTCCTACGCCGAGGGAAGGAGGAAGAGCTGTCTCCATAAATCATCCCACAGAAGATATGCTGTGCTGGACCCAACCCAGAAGAACCAAAGAGTGGATCTTCCCGCCTCCTCTGAGCTCACCATGCACAGATCCCACCTTCAAAGTCTCGCGATGTTTGAGGTGTTCGCTGATGGAGCAGCAGTATATAAAAAAACGGACTCTCATCATCATCAACTCACACAGAGAGAAGCGTCGGACGCAGCAGTACCGAGGGAGGCTGCGTACTCTCAAGAGGTGAGAACACCACTGTTGTTTATTTGATTTGACTATTTCTTATTTTATACATTTACATTTAAAGTCGGCCAACATTTCATCCACGGTTAGAGAACATTTAACGGCGCAGTCGCTGAGCCCAGGGCAGACTTTGTTAGTCTGGCAGATGGGAGTCAGGCTCAGTCACAGTAAACAGGAGTAACCTCGTTGTTGTCCTCCTCGGGTCCTCCTCACTGAGACCCGTTTACCCCCGGAATGGACTGAGCCACACGCCGGCAGCGCTAACGGTTCGGCGGGCTGAGGGAGAGCCCGCTGCCGTCAAAGGCTGCATTGTGTCGGGTCTGGCTTCAGCCCGCGGTGCCGTGGACAGGACGGTGTATTTATTTATTTATGTTCCGTTTCTGTAGGCACAGCTGCTGCACAGATCCACGGGTGTTTTTTTTTTCTTCTTCACGTCTGCTTCACTACACTATTAAAGCTGTCTGCGCCCTTTAAAGTCAGGGAAAAGGGAGAGAAAAAAACCCCGACTTACTTTAAAAATAAACACGCAGACAGACAGAAAGACTTTATCTCATGTCTCAGTCCTGAATGTAACACTTCTGTGATTAAACCTCCTGACGACAATTCTGTATTTCCACATTTTTGACAACAGCAAATGATACTTTAACTAATTTTCTTCATTCAAAGAAAATCCAGTCATACCCATTCACTCTCTTTACTTAAAGACAATCTGGACCAGCCCTTGGAACAAACTTGGAACTTTTAAGGCTCCCGCGGGCCACACAAAATGGCTTGGCGGGCCGCATTTGGGCCCCGGGCCTTGAGTTGGACACACATGGCATAGACCGAGTGTGAATGACGTGTGATTGGCGTGTGACTGTAGCCTTGATGCTGGCCTAGTTGTCTCACACCCGAAGGGTTGTGGGTTCCACTCCATACTCGGTGGGGTTAATGCCTTGCAGAAGACAGGAGATGAGAGAGAATGGGTTTACAGATGGACCGTTTGACACCTGGATGATCCAGTCAGAGCCGGGTGTCGGTGTTCGACTACATTTTAATGACATGTTGCACATGAGACCAGTAATGTTTCAGTAGAAAGGTTCACTGTCTCTGTGGGTGAAGTGAGAAGTTGCATCATTTTCCTGTGACCTACACACTGAGTTACATCCAAAACCCGCAGAGCACTTCCTGTATTTTCCAAGATTTCACTCTGAAACCATGTCCGTCGGCAGAGCAGTCGCTCTAGTTTTAAATGCAGGATCTGCTCCATGTTTCACAAACCAAATAAGTTTGTAACGACAAGTCGACTACAGGTACGACTGTGTTATCAACAAAGTTTAAGGTTCTTAAGTGTAAAAAAAAAAGGCATCATTTACTGCTGTGATTGGTTCTAGAAATTAATACGTTTAAAGTTTCTTTTTTTATTGGAATATTTGATTTAGTATTGTTTTTTGTATTTTGTATTTTATTACATATTATTCCTGTCTTTAAAGAATTATGTGTTTATCTCCCGACAAACTTGAAACAATGACAGAGTAAAGGCTTTAAATTAACTTACAGTTATAAAGAATAGCTAAAAATATGTGGAAAGGCTTTAATTCAAATTCTTACAACATAAAACACCTGTATTTCGACAATTTCTAACGCCTAACCTCAGATATTCTGTGTACTTCTCTTGTGTTAAAAGTCTTCTCTGGCCAGTTGCCGTAGAGATGTTCTGTGTTGCTATGGTGATAAACTATAACATATAGGCATTTTAATAATATTTCTATTGTGTTTTAAAAGGCCATAAAGTTTTAGACTGTAAATGGAAATTGTTGGCGTCGTTGTGAATGTACACTAAGATGCTGCTTTATTTTTGGGTCCAGTTGACCTCCACCGACAGAGGGGTCATTGACTTTTACATATGCTGCCTCTGATACTTAGGAAATGATGTGTATTATTGGATGGCTCCGTGCTTGTTGATATGCAGGGAGGGAGAGGTGTGAGTGGTGAGAGGAATGATGATTTTTCCATGTCAATGGTCCTCTCTTAGCTCCAGGAAAGGGGGGATAATGAGAGGACTGTTGGAGGAGAGCTCCAAATTTAGTCTGTGGGAGACACACTCTGACGGCGAAACTCAAGGGAAAGAAGAGGTTCAAAGTCCGCAGATAAAGTCAAATAAAAAGCATTCATTATGATTCCAGTGGGGCCTGGGAATAAAAAGTCGTCATGTGAGTTTTTTTGTTTTGTTTTTTTTTTATCTTCCTGCAGATCACTGCACAGAGAGAGACTAGTTTGGTGACAGCGGTGCAGTGTGCCGATTTGTGTCTTGATAAGGGGTATAAAATATTTTCCTCTCTGGCGTTCTATCAAATGATTGCATGAATTACTACCAGTTACTCCTTTTTTTTTGGTACGGCCACTGCAGAACACTTGTGCCATGCAAACTTCTAACTCACAGTATGCAGAGGTGCGAAGCAGCGAGATATTTGCCAACCACTTGAGATTATACAGTTGGGAGTGGGAGTTGGGTCAGCACGGAGAGAGGGAAAAAAATGAGTCCAAGAAACTGTCAGTCTCACTCACTCTGCTGGAGCTGTCCACTATTTACAGTAACAGAAGTATGTGAGAACGCTTTTGTGTCTGCAGCTGTAGCAAAAGTACACGGTAGCCAAAAAGGTAAAGGTGTTCAACAGTCTTCGACTTACGTTTGAGTCATAACCAGTGCTTCTCTAGGACGGACTGTATGTACAGTATATAAAACATGAGCATGAAAAAAAAAGGTTTATTATCAAATAAATGATTTCCTTCATTAGTTTATCCATAGAGTTGGTGTCAGATGAAAACTCCCATTTAGAGGAAAATAGATGACATGAATTTACTTATTTTGAAGTCGCCAGGAAATACCCTATGATGAATGATTTTGTCAGACAACGTTTTCCTACAAGACTTTATCTCATGTCTCAGTCCTGAATGTAACACTTAAACCTGTTGACGACAATTCTGCATTTTCACATATTTGACAACGGCAAATAGACCGAAAATCAAGGCACATGAGAAATGCATCAGATAAATGAACAGAACCGTGTTTGTTTTCTGTCTCGTGTGTCTGCAGCCGAGCAGAGCAGAGGTGAGAGTGACTCCACGGACGGTCAGCTCCACCCTCCTGCACTGCAGCAGTATCATGCCCAGTCCAGTCCTGCCCCAAACTCTGCTGTAGCCTCTGTTCACCTCACACCATGGTGGGAGACCGCTCCTGGACCTTGACTCTGTTGCCATGGTGACCCTGCAGCAGGAAGCCCGGCAGTTACTGCAAACATCCAGGTAACAATCTCAATCTGCTGCCATGGTTACACAGTAGAGCCGCCCGCATGGTCGTCAGCCTGTTGCTATGGTGAAAGTCTAACAAGCACCCGTCACCATGGGAACGTCCAGGAAGTTCCACGCTTTTGTCGTCGTGGGCTCGGTCTTCATGATCCTCCTCATCGTCTTCTACTGGGACGAAGTCCGAGCCTCTCATCTGTATCTGCACACCCCGGTGTCGCCGGGGCCCAAAATCCCTCACCCTCCTCCAGAACAGCGGCCCCACACCTCTCGCCCCTTGTCCTTCCTGTCTGACATCGATGCCTTTGTAAATCAGTTCTTAGAGCCAGGAACGGGTGAACCTACAGACCCCGCCCCCGCGGACACAGGCAACCAATCAGAAAAAGCAGACGAGCCATATGTTCCAAGACGGGAGTGGAAAATTCACCTGACTCCTTTGGCACCAGAGCTACGTGAGAGACAGGTGTAAAAAAAAAACTATTATTAAAATAAGTAATAGAACTAGTAACATTAGTAGCAGCAGCAGCAGCAGCAGCAGCCGCAGCAGCAGCAGTAGTTGTTGTTGTAGTAGTTGTGGTAAAGGACATTTGTTTGTTCTTTGTTGAATAAAACCAGGAGCAGAGGAGGCGATTAATACAGGACACGTGCACCAACGACAGCTTTTCGTTTCCTGGCAAAAACCGTTCGTTTGACGACATTCCCAACCAGGACCTGAAACACCTCATAGTGGACGACAGGCATGGAATCATCTACTGCTACGTCCCAAAGGTACAGCCATCCACACATTCAATAGTTGTTAGCGGGAATTTGAAACGGGAAGTGACATCACAGGTCTGTGAGATAAACCCCCTCTGCTGTTCTCCTCCTGTTCTCCTCCTGCTTTTCTGACTCTCCTCAGGTGGCGTGCACCAACTGGAAGCGGATCATGATAGTCCTGAGCGAGAGTCTGCTGCAGGACGGTGTCCCCCAGCGGGACCCTCAGGCCATCCCTTCAGTCCAGGTCCACAACGGCAGCATGCACTTCACCTTCAACGAGTTCTGGCAACGCTACGGAAAATTCGCAAATCACCTCATGAAGGTCTGCAAAAATGCCGTAGCTGCGAGCTCGTGTCGGACAAAATATCAATACAGTAGACTTCACATGATTTTTCTTTTTAGCTGCAAACAATGAGATGGGGCCACATAGTGGAAGAGTGGTTAGTGCTGTTGCCTTACAGCAAAAAGATCAGCGGTTCAACTCTCAGTGCTTCTGCTTGTTGTTTATTTGTATGGGATTTTTTTAGTAATTACTCCAGTGACTGTAGATGGTGGTTTGTCCACATCCAAATATAAACGACCATCTACAGTGAACGTCTCCCCCTTTAACCCCGTCTCCCTTTTTCAGCTGGTAACGTCTTCACTCCCCCATGACCCTGTGAAGGATTAAGAGTTTTTCCTGCAGAGCTGCGGTTGTTTTTGCTGCTGTAGAAGTTTAGATTTTGTCTCGTGACCTGATTTGGCGTTGAGCGTTGATGACTCAGACTCCAGTCCAAGCCCCCGGGGGTCTGACTGTGATATCACACTCCTCTTTCCAGCAGTTTGGGCTTAGACTTTAAAACCATGGGGGATAAACTCAGACTCCTTCTGTGATACAGACTCTGATTTAGCCTTGTGGACTTGGACGTTTTTCTTCAGTAGATTAAACCAATAGTCACCGAGGACATTTTTTTTTCTTGCCTTAAATCCTATATTTCTACTGATGGATCCCTGAGAACCTCGACATAGGGAGGGGTTAGAAGATTGACCCTGAGAACCTCGACATAGGGAGGGGTTTGAAGATTGAGAACCTGGTGAGGTCGTGTCTGAACCTCTTGTAGTACGCCGAGCGCTATTTAGTGTCCGAGCTGTGTTTTGTGTTTTTCCTCCAACACAACTTGATGCACAACTTTGTCTCGACCTGCCCTGACTAACTCTCCATCGTACTGTGTGTTTTGCAGGTGAAGCTGAAGAAGTACACCAAGTTCCTGTTTGTGCGAGACCCCTTGGTGCGCCTCATTTCTGCCTACCGCAATAAATTAGAACAACCCAACAGCGAGTTCTACCATGACTACGGCCAAGTCATGCTGCGCCTCTACGCCAACCTGTCTGAACCTCCTGCCTCTGTACGTGAGGCGTTTGTTCAGGGCATCCACCCGTCCTTCTCCCACTTCATCCAGTACCTGCTGGACCCTCAGACTGAGAAGAAGAGGCCCTTCAATGAGCACTGGCGACAGGTGTACAGACTCTGCCACCCCTGCCAGATTGAGTATGACTTTATTGGCCACTTGGAGACACTGGAGGAGGACGCTGAGCATCTTCTGCGTCTGCTGCGGGTGGACAATGTGGTCGAGTTCCCCAGCTCCAGCAAGAACGTCACCGCCCTCAGCTGGGTGTTCGACTGGTTCAGCAAAATCCCTGTGGAGGCGCGGAGGGAACTCTTCAAACTTTACGAACCCGACTTCAGGCTTTTTGGTTACGACCGACCGGACTTCATCCTCGACGAGTGACGAGTGACTCCATGACCCACCACTGAGTTTCTATTTTTTTTTTTTCAGATTTAAAAATGTAATCAGAAGCACAGGGCAGGATCTGGGGTTGTGCAGAGCGTGGGTGTCTCTGACGAGATGCACATTTAAAGAGGAGAAGGAGGTCAGTTCTTCTGTGTGGATGTATGAGCTGGCCTGAGTCACCCACACCAGAAGGAATCACATTTGAGCCACTTAAAGGAGGAGTATGCCACAGTAGGCTTGTCCACAAACTAAGGCCCGGGGGCCGTTGACCTTTTTAATCCGGCCTGCCAAACTTTTCCAAATTTATTTATATGATCATTATACTTCTGCCTTTTCCCTGCAATCACCACGTTTTCCCAACAGATGGCGTAGACTTCACATGAGGGCTCCCTCTATCTCCTCACCCAGGCCCCAATGAATGATCTCATTTTAGCTATTTTTGCCTAGGCTATGCTAGGCTAAGCTAATACCTCTAACCTAATCTGAATCCGGTTTCCATTGCTAAACATTTCCAGTTACATTGCAGAATAATTTAAAAAGTAAAATGTATTTTTTGCTTACAAAAACAGACTCAATCAATTATATTTAAACTGTTCTTTTTTTTGTTTTTTTGTTTTGTTTTATTTGTGCGTACTTTACCTTTAACTGGCTGAATTCTATTTGTCCTTGAGTCTTTGTTGAGGCCCTGGTTTTTCCAAACTGTGTGAGTCAGAATCTCTGTGACGTTCAGGCTGAGAGGCAGCAGTGTGCTCATACAACCACACAAAAAAACACACAACTTGACACTTTAAGCCGCACTTTTTAACCCTTTCTTGAATTACTGCGTCTTTAGCAAACACAACACACGAGCAGATGGCCGGCGACTTCAGTTCAGGCTCTGACTATTTTTCTACTCCCTCATCATACCTGCATTATTACGTCAAAGTCTGGATCAAATCAATCCCACTTTTACAACATAATGGACCATTTAAATCAGCCTGAAGTTGTTCCTTGAGTGTGAAAAACTTTTAAAAAAGTTTATTTATTTTACGCCGATAAAGTGCAATGATTATGCTGGAGCGACGGGATGATGTGAACCAGAAAACAAATTGTTTCGTGTGTCTGACACTAAGACGCTGCTGCTGTTATGGAATTAATATCTCAGCTTGCTTCACAGCACCAATATGAATGCCACACCTGGTCGTGCTCCTCAGGCAGAGGCAGAGCAGCTGCGGTGGAAAAAAAAAAAAAACAGCCGGATTTGTCTCAGCTCGTCTTTGAGGCACAAAACTGGAGTTTTGACATTCTTTTGATTTAATCCCAGCTGCACATCCGCAGGTGAGCCGCCGCGGACAGGAACACAGGAAGTGTTGGAGGTGAAGGTTCCCGTGTCAGCCGGTGCTTCATCGTCCTGGCGTTTAGCTGCACAAACTGAACAACGTCAGGCTGAACCTGATGACTGCCGCAGGGCTGTGGACACTAAAAATAGTGAAACATTTATAAAGGAAGCATTTGAATGGGATGCAGCGTCTGAGAGGGTGCAGTACCACAGCACCGCCACTGGAGCTCACGTGAAGAGACAGATGCAGCTGCAGAACTTTTTGTCTTTTCAGTTTGATCAGTTTAGAAAAGAATAGATAAAGAAAGATATGGACCCTGCCTCAGACGACATTGATCGTCTGGTACCGATATCATACTGATACCTCCAACATGCCGCAGGCTATTGTTGCATAACGTTAAGTTGATCATTCGGACTATGGTATCGGATCAGTACCAGTATGAGATCAAGCTGTCTCTAATAAGAATCTTGTCGCAGCTACAGTCTGAAATGTAGTATTTATTGCCTCTCGTGGTGCCTTTTTTTTTTTTTTGGTCAATTTTCCTCTAAATGGGATCATATTGAAAAAGAAGCGTCATGTTCCCAAAAACGAATTCGTAGCATCCTTTTTTTTTCTCTCCATTGACCTCCTTTTCGACAAGTTCCACTTCTGCAGCTTCACTTTTGTAAAGAAGTGACTACATTTATTTCAACTGTGAGGCTGTAGCCAAGCAGCGCTGCAACAGTAAAAGGGTTGACCAGTGTCTGCCGGCGGCCTGTCATTCATTACTGTCATTTGTTGATCCATGGGGAAAAAGGTTTTTTTTTCTTTTTTCGTTTTTCTTAAGTGAATTTTCTTTGTCTTTCTGGAAAATAAACCAAATATGATGAGCTTATGGACGAACAATACATTGAAAATAATTCTTTATTAAGTTTAATTTTCAAAATCTTATTGGTTCATTTTGAATGTTATTATTGTATACAATGGGGCAGCCCTACGGTTAGCAGGGGCAGGTTAAAAGGCAACACGACGCACACGCCTAGAGTGGAAGGAGTGGAGCGAGAAGACAGTGCCTTTGGTTGCGTGTGTTTACACAACTAGTTAAAAAAAAAAAAAACAACAACATATTTTTGTAGGAAGACGTCATTTTTACCCGGCTCACTGAGAGCTGACACTGGGCCAAATGACGTTGACTGAATGGACGGGGCCTTTTTATTTGATCTTTGTTTTTTAATGGCAGCCTCCTCTTCTGTTGTGCTGTTTGTGTGCAGTCGGTCGCTTCGTGTCGCCGTAGCACATTAGATTTCTACGTGTGGTTCTTCTTTGAGTGTGTGTTTTCTAACGGTGTTGTCTTACTGATGTTTGCACGGCATGTTTCAATTCTAAAATCCCTGTAAAGCTTTTTGAGTTTTTGATGGCTTCATGTTTACGATGATTTTTTAAAAAGTATTTTGTTGAAATTCCAGATTCAAAGGAGGGAAAAATAAAGGGGTCATCCGTGGTTTTATTTTAAAGTCTTTCTTGTATGTGGGCCAATCAATACACATGTATCGCCTCATGTTTTACTGCCTGGGCTGCTTGTTCTATTTGGTCGATTCTAAGGAAAAAAAACACTTTCCATTGTCTGTAATTTGCCAAATCAACACTGTTTTTGTATCTCCTTTGTACTTGTGTTGCTGGTTTGTTATATCATTTTGTGACGGTGCAAAAACCTTTATCTGTTCTCAAGAGAAAAGAATTATAAGTTATAATTTCTAAGGAAGAAAAAAAGAGAGCGAGAGAGACGAGAAGCAGCACAGACGCCACATCTCTGCTTTGAACAGATGACGTGACGGTTGGCGCTGCAGTTATCAAACATCGTCCTACTTTCTGACCTCATTCTGCATCCTAACATCAAACAGCGGCGACGCGGCACATTCTGTTTTTATGAAACGCCCGATTTCACGCAGTGTTTCCCACATTTCGGGAAAAGAAATGGAAACCTTCCCTTGTGTTTTTTCTTCTGTGTTGTGATGTCATTGGTCATCTGGTACTTGCACTAAAGAAATAAAGATGGTGTGGCATGATGGGAAAAAAAACGGTTTCTTTACTCATGTTTGACTTCATCATGACTCAAATGACATGAAGCGAACCAATGGGTGGGAGAGAGCAAGAGCCGGTCAAAAGGTCAACAACCCTGCAGGATTATGGGATAGGAGAGGCCAGAAGATTTACCAGTTGGAGAACGTCTTCCATAGAATGAGGTTCATTTTTTTGGAAAAAAAAGTGAGGGAAAATAGAGTTGGGAATCAAACTCAGTGGTTCTCAAACTGTGGTACGCGTACCCACCAGTGGTGGTTCAGTTGAATAAATCTGAACATTCCATGCACAATTAATACAACATTTAGAAAAAAAAATGTGTAGCTACTTGTGAGATTATGAAATAGGATGTCTGGTCTTTTTATTGATTTACTTTTTTTTTGCTGCAATGAAAGTCTGTAGCAAGGGCAGCACGGAATCATGGGATCGCTCTGAGCACAGGTGAGTGTGATTCACAGAACGAACGTCCCACACTCACCTGTTTGTTAGCGATTAAATGAATTCCTCCGTGCTGGCCTTGACGAGATAGCCGTTGAAAGTGATATAAACATCTGTGTCGTCGCTGTAAACAGCATTCTCCCGCTCTCTCTTGTACAGTCGCACCCACACTTGGTCGTCCAGCTGCAGCTCCAGCAGCAGGCTCTGGCTCTGCATGATGGAGCGCTCACTGGGCTGGGCGTACACGATGGCCTGCTCGCTGTCGTTGCGCATGATGTGCAAGTAGGTCTCTTTGAAGTTCCAGGTGTGGATGTTGATGTTGAAGAAGTAGATCCCGGCCACGTGGCAGAGGAACTTCCCCTGGAACATGTCAAAGTGACCTTCGGGGTTGACGAAGACCGTGTCAAACACCAGCGCCTGGTACGAGTCCAGGCTGTGGAGGGATTTGCGACGGCCCACGGAGAAAGTGGAGTACTGGAGATTACAGGGTTCTCCAGGAGGACCCGCCTGACCTTTGGCACCTTTTGCACCCGTGAGGCCCCTGGAGCCCGGCGGACCTTGGTGTCCAGGTTTTCCTGGTGTTCCTCTGTCTCCACGTTCTCCTTTGTCACCTGCGCAGACGGAAATCTATCAAACCTCGAAGAAGGAATAAAATGATTATATTTCTGTGACAGACTCTCATGGTCTCTTTCCTTCATATTTTTATTCTACAAAACTACCGTTAACGACGTGTTGTAAAATTATTTTATGTAAATTTCTTAGTCTGACGTTTTTTGTTTTTTAGCTGTCTTAGTCTGACGTTTTTTGTTTTTTAGTTGTTTCTTTTTTCTTACTACCTTTCAGGATGGTCATGTTGATGTAGGTGCGAACCTCTGGGACGTGGTTAAATTCAACAAGAGGTGCTAGGTCTCCACTGCCCTCTTCTGGCTCTAAGTGGTCACAGCAGTGCTTGCAGAAGACACGGGGAGCTCCCGAGTGAGGCACCGTGGCCACCAGGGGGGTGAGGGACAGAAGGAGGACGAAGACTCCCAGCATGGCTTCACCTAGAAAAGGAGACGGAGACGATTGGACCTCAGAGTCTGGACGTTTGAAACGAGTTGAGCTGAGATTTGTCTGTATTTTAAAAAACTGTGTTACATGTGTCAGAAAGAAGAGAATTACAAAAAAAAAACAAAAAAAAAAATTTAATTGAATCTTTGGCAAGGGCAGAAACTGCTGCTGAATGTGTTTGACCTATAGGTGGAATCACGAGAGAAATATTATTAGAAGGATGACTTTTGTGATTTACTCCAAAATAAGATCTTATTTTATTTTAATACAGACTTTAAGTTCTTCGAGTCGTTAGAGCACACTGCTGACTTCCTTAATAATTGTTCACCAGCTGTTCAGGGGTGGAAAAAAGGCGAACTTTCCTGTCCTAAATGTCATTCCCAGAGCAGTGGAAAAAGGAAGAGGAATCGTCCCACTGTGAGCCAGAGAAAACATTCATGACTGAGCTGGAGGGAGCAAAGGAATTCAGAACAAACGAATGAAATCCAATCCTCGAGCTTCAAACTGAACGTGGCTCTCTGCTCGTGGTTCGTGAGAAACAGACGTAGAATTAAGTCGGCGTTCAATTCCGACGACCAATGAGATGTGAGCGGTGTGCACGTCGCAGGTTCGACTCCGCAGAGGACGAGTTCTACCTTAATAACACTGTGGATAATGCTCTCCTCCATCCAGAGTCCCAGGAGAAGATTACAGAGCATGAATAATGAGTGAGTGCAGCTTTAACGGTGTCATAAATCCTGGAGAAATTACCCTTCAGACAGAAAATCGTTCATCCACGATTAACCTGATGCAGCTCCACTCCCCACAGTGATGAATCCAGCCTCAAAATATATTTCAGGAATGACTTGCAGACCAGACCAGAACCAAAATCAAAAAGGTTCCAGGGGCAAAAAAAGAAAGAAAAAGAATTTGCAGTTTGTCAGACTTCGGTGATTATCAGTCCGTGGTCTCGGTGACAGGAAGAGTGTGTGCTGCTGTGTTTACATACATGCAACAACAGCTGGATCCATTCAACCAGCTGCATCCTGCACACACGAGTGGACAGGCTAGGCTAGGCTAAGCTAAGCTGTGATCTACATGTTAGACAACGTCCTGTTGGTGTGAACTCTCCAGTGGCTTAAGTTCAGTCTCGACATTTGCTGAGGACATGTTCGTCAGGCCGTGGACTTCTGAACTCTTCTGAAACCTGAATGCAGCACTGAGGCCTCGGGAATCAACGTTCAGTCGTTTTATTGTTACTATTTTAGGAGGAGCAGGACATGAAACAGAACTAAAGCACGTCCGGGTTTAGAACGAGGGGGGGGGACGGGGGGGAGGGGTTCCTGACCTGACCTGACACAAGTCCACAGCAACAGACAAACTGTGAAAACAGACCTGAGAGAAGTGCTGGGAGTTATATAAATAACCTGGGCACCAGGTGAGACCAGTGAGAGTAAACGAGACGAGCAGAGCAGAGCAGAGCTCACAGGTGAACGTCATCAGCTGATTCAAAGAGAGAGAGAGAGAAGAGCAGAGAAAAAAAACAATTTCTGATGATAAATGATTGCATCATTACCTGGAGGATATGTAACGAAATAACTTTGATTTTCTTTTTTAAAAAGATTTTTTTTCTTTAATTTTGTCCCATGGTTTCTAACCTCTTCTGAGTCACAGCGACACACCAGCCAACAAACATGTTCCAAAATGTCTACGTAATCAAATATAATAATCTTCTGTGTTTTGTTCACTGCCCATTAACCTACCCAGCTGTAAACCTGAGCCTGTTTAGTTGAACACAATGCCGATATGCTCACAGGAATTGAAGAAAGACGCAGACAAAGATGTGGTTCTTCAACAGCTCTAAGTCTCTCTCTTTATTTGTTTTATAGCTGTGTGCTGCCATCTAGTGGAAGGGTATGTCATTGTTCTGCCTGTTATTAGCACCAAATGGGATCTAAAACCTGGTTTGAACGTAGGGCTAATGAAGCTGCGGTTTATGAAGAGATCAAACATCGCAGCCACACAAGTAGTTCAAGATGTCACATAAAACATGACAAATGGATCCTAATGTAATGGACAACACATGTCCAGGCTTTGATGTAAGAGACACGTGAGGTCACTGTCTGTCCATGTCCCACTGGGACGTTTTCCCGTCCTGATTCAAGAGCTCTTTCAGACGTTTCAGCAATGATTTCATGTTCAGTGCACTTGTCCGTCAGTGTGCAGTGTAAACCTGCTGCCTGACTCCACCACTCGGTCTGAGTCTTGGCTGGGGATCAAGAATATTATATAAACACTTTTAGTGGAAACCCCCCACTTGGAGTGGAAACTTGAAGAGTGGATTATCACAGAAAATACTGCCTGAGATCTTTAGTTTTTTTTTCTTCTTTTGTTTGTCCAGACTGTAGCGTTAAAAAGACAAAATCTACCTTTAATATTTATTTACATTGAATAACAATAAGGCAGAGTACAGCATCCATCCATCCATCCATCCATCCATCCATCTATCCATCCAAACCAATCAACATCCTGCAGTTTTGCATGCAGCCAACAGTAGAGGAGACTCAGTTTTACAGCCTTGAGCTAGGATTGAAAAAAAGTTTTTCTGACATTGATCTGAAAACATTTTATACCGCCACCGCCACCGCCACCGCCACCGCCACCCTGACTTTAAATCTGAATGACTCTCACCTCCTTCCCTTCTGTGCTGCTGCAGCTTCATTCCACTCCAGAGACGAGGAGAGACTCCTGAGTCAGCAGCCTGTCTCCGTGTCTCCGTGTCTCTCTGTGAGGGGGTCGACTCAGGAGAACTTAGTTCCCTCCTATACCACGATCTCTCCGACGCACAGTCTTGCTCGTGTGCATGTGTGTGTACTGTACACCGATTTGACAAAATTTATGGGCGGCACTTTTGACGTCTGGAATCTTTGAGAAGATTGGAACTGACTCAAAGATACAAGACTCAACTGCGGAGCTGCAAAAGCACAGCACCGCCTGGAGGGGGACGACTCTCCAGGGTCGTGGGAAGTAACGGCCTGCGTTTCCTCTGTGCTGAGTGTCTCCATAGACGCCAAAACTTATGCAGCTGCAAAAGGAGAGCAGGGAGAGCAGGGAATGGGAGTGGGCTCAGAGAGTGATGGTCTTCAGCTGACGCTAACCCTAACTTTCCAGATCCCCTGAGCTCAGGTTTGTTTTTGGAGAGATGACAAAAGAAGAAGAAAAACGATTGGCTCCAAATGTAAGTCAGTACTGGGAGCAAAACTCTTTTCACTGTTTCACCCTGTTAAATGCTTATAAATAAACTCAATCTTGCTCTTAACCCATCTGTCATTCTGACTGCACATCCTCAAAATCCTAACTTTCATTTTGCTTTATGTTCTTCATCTTTTAATGAAGTCAAGATGAAGTGCAGATAAAGATCATTAGTAATCGTCTCTGGGGTTTTCCATGGGCGGTACTTGCACTCAGACACAGAACTAGATCCCTCTAGTGGATAGGGGCCAACATTGCAAGTTGTAAAGAATATTTGTGAATTAACCCCCCATCACCCCTCCCCCTTCCCCCGCTTATTGAAATACTACTGAGAACCTGATAACATCTACATATTTAT